CAGTAACAGATGTGTTTCATCTCTTTCTCCAGGTAAATCCTTGACCTGTCCTAAAGAAACTTAGAAGGAGGTCTTCTGGATTGATTTTAGAAACACAGACAACTCAATAGGAAAGCACTTGGAGAAGGCAAGACTTCTTTAGTGTCCAGATAATTCACTTCTAAAGAGGCCCCAAGTATGAATCTTTGGCTGTGTGATAAAAGTTCAGCAGAAGAACCCTCAGAGGCTTGGTCAAATCCTAGAGTGGGTTGTGGTCTCTACACCCCCAGACTCAACCAACAACTTCACAGCTTTCCAAATCAGAGGCATACAGGCAGACCCAGTGTCATTCAGGAGAAGGCAAAGTCCAAAGGTCAACAGGGTGCAACATGATCTGGTCATCTGGAACATTTCCCAGCCCAGTACACCCATGCAGTCTTTGCCAACTGTAATGTCTATGCATAGCCCTGGAAACTCGTTTCCATGTGAATTCTGATTCTGAGATGAGATCTGAGATTCTTCATTTCTACCACACTCTTAGGCAATGCTGTTGTCATTGCTTTGTGGTCTACACATTGAACATCAATGTTCAAGTTGTCCTCAAATTTGCTGAACAATAAAATTATTCGGAAAACTTAAAAACTGTAGTATCTGAACATTATATCTTACCCAATGACTAGTTAAAATAGTAGTTGAAGACATATGACCCATGCATTGATAGGTTTTTACAGTGTACAGCCCCAGTCAAGAACTGCTACAACTGACTAAGAACATGTTTGAATTCAAGTGAAAAGAGTTATTTGATAAGCACCAGTGATATTTTATGCATGCAGATAAACATTCTATGCAGATGGATTTCCACAACAGCAAGTGAGACAACAAAAATAATACCTGACTTTCGTATAAATTTTATAACTCTATACAAAACTTTTATTCATTTGCTTTCATTTGATTTTCTTCAGTCATTGACATGGAAACTAGATAACTGATTTTATAATGAGAGCAAAGGAGGTAAATTTCTGTGACTTTCCCTGGATCAAACAGTGAATAAATGGGAGAGAACTTGGGCATTTAGAGTTCCAATTGTCTGTCTTCCCAGAACACAGCAAGGATGACCATGATCCTAAAGTGCACTTGGGAGTCCTGTTAATGACGCACTGCGAAGTGTGAAGGGGCTGCAGTCCCTCTAGGCTGACAGTGGCTTTTCCCTGCAGACACGTGAGTTAGGGACCAAGACCTGCACAAAGATGGAAGATCAGCTGCTGTGGCCTGGCTGCTCTAGAGCAGTGACATCAAGAGACCAACGTGACAGCTGCAGAAGCTAGAGGCTTCCCAGGATTCTCACCCTGGCTTTTGCCTGGCTTCTCACCCTCCCCCTCTCCACAGGGCCTCATGGACAAGCGTCATTCTAGAGTCGTTATCTCAAACATTGGAAAGCAACCTGCATCCCAGCACTGAGGAATCAGTCACAACAGTAACTCTTCTTGCTATGCAAAGAATATTTCCAACAATTCTCAAGTAGCAGTCCATCATTTTTATCCAAGAAAGCTTGGGCAAAAGACTCTAGGCAGATGCTGCCTTGATGGCAACAGAATATCCCCACAGCTTCTCAGTGTGAGCTAAAATGAACCCTTCCAAAGCAGAAAACCAGGTATCCCCACAGAGAGCTCAGACCTTGAACTCTGATGAAAAGCTAAAGAAACAGCTGTTCAGGACAGTCCTCTGACTTTTTTTTCCTTGTGTCTTTTTTTTTTTTTCATTTATTACCCTTTTTTAAAAAAACAAAAAACATTTACTTGAGAGACAGTATGGTAATAATTGGTATGTCATGACAAGAAGTACGTATTTAGAAGATCAGAATGACAGGCGTTCCAAGCGTGACCCTTTTATTACACATAGATGACAATGGAATACCCATCTCTGACAGGACTAAACAAAAAAAGGGGATACAAAAGAAGAGCCATTTTGTATCTATATATATAAAATAGTTAGGATAGATATACAGCTACTTTCTCTTAAAATTCAATGAGAAGAAAGATTTGTACTAATAATGTTTGGACAGGATATCCTGTCAGCATCTTGTACTATGGATAACCACTAAGAAGATAACAA